AGTGAGAGAGAGATGAAAGAAAAAAAGAAAAAAGGGACAGAGAGACAAAAGGAAGGAAAGAGAGAGAAAGAAAGAAAACACATAGCCGGCAAGCCACTCCCACAAAGGAGGCCACACCCACAGAGTAGGTTCCAAATTTTTTAGAAACCCACCACTAGTCAGGAACTAAAAAGCTGATTGGAGGTGGAAGATCTGATGAAGACATTCAGGCCTTACACACAGGAGTGATACAGCAATGAGATACTTTTATCCATACATCCAAGGACAGAAAATAGCACTGAAATGCCACTTCAGATCACGAGAAAGAGTATGAAAATCCCAATCTTGATATTTACCTTATATGAGACTTTAACCACAGAAGGAGCCCACTTATCAAATTCATAGGCCCAATTTGATAGAGTTCTAAAACAGAAAAAAAGTGAAAAAATCCATTTTATACAAAATATCTTCTGATTTCTTTCAAGAATTAAAAAAGATCTCGTAACCATATGTTTAATGAATAAAAACCTGTGCGCTCAAATTCTATGTACTTATTTTAAATTAATAATTTATTTTAATAGAAGATGGAACAAGATGAACAAATATCAATAAACAGAAGGTTTGCAATTATAAAATGTAAAATTCACTATTTCATTAATTCATTAATGTACACAGCTAAGTTCATTGTATCATTTGAAGAAATAACTAAAAACTGTAAAAGTGCAAACATTAAAGTTAACATTGCCGTCACCATTATTTGTCATTCTTCCAAAAAGAAGCAACTTTTTAGAAGTGTAACACAAAACTGTAGTCATATCTGCTGACTGATCAGATGAACTCTATCAGTGCCATACTTCCCCCCCTCCCCCCAGGCAGCAGTTTTTATCATTTAACTGAATGAATTAAATTATTTCAGTCTTACAAAATTAATGTACATTAAATAACTATATGAAGCACAAATGTTTAAGTTATGTAAAATCTTTGGTTGCCAATTTCTTGGTAGTTAAGTTTCTTCTCATATAAAGCATTTGTCCAAAGCGTTTTCATTTCTCAAGTTTTACCCTTTTTTAACCAAGTCATTTAAATAAAAAAAAAACAATAGCAATAGCAGTTAGACTTATATACCGCTTCATAGGGCTTTCAGCCCTCTCTAAGCGGTTTACAGAGTGAGCATATCGCCCCCAACAACAA